CGGCGGAAGTGGCTGACGTACCCGTCTATCCCGCTGCGGCTGTAACACCGCCCCGCCAGCTGCGCCCTGCTGCGCCATCAAAAGCCGTGGCGGCGGCCGGGGCGGCGGCCATACCCCTCCAAAGCAACCGGCGGCTGACAGCTGTTGCTGTTGCTGCTGTTGCTGCTGCTGCTGCTGCTGCTGCTGCTGCGGTCGCCACCGCACTTCGTTGGCTAGGCGCTGCCATGGTGGCAACATTGCTCCAAGTTGGCGTGAGCGTTCATAGTTTAGCTGCGCTACTCCCTCTACCTCCGAATGTAGTATTATAGTGGTGCACTCGGCCCGTGCGTACCGGTAGAGCAGTATCCCGGTCCCGTATGTACCCCAATGGCAGACGAAAGGGGCGTATGTGGTTCCGCGAATTCGAAACCATCACCTGATAGCTCCCCTGGCGTCCCCAAGGCCTCCGATGCTTGGGACATCTGCACAGCTGTAGCAAGGAACGAGTGCAGCACCCTGCCGCGACGTTCACCGGCCCCGAAGCCCTCCCATGAATTTCTTGCATCTCGTCCCAAACTCCCCCGGGATGATGGGCTTTGCGACGCGTGGCGTTTCGCTGGTGGTGATTCACGTCCACTCACACTTCTGCAAGCCTCTCCGATAGCCGCAGGAGTGTCGCAAGGAAATGTGTTCGCGACGGTGGCTACACCGCCAGGCGCGCCGCTGACCGACAGATGGGAATTGCCCGACGGCTCGCTACCGGAAGAGGTCGCTGTCCGTTCTCGAGGAGGGTTTTGCTGCAAGAAGTTGGAACTCTCTCCAGTGTTCGCGCATGGGGCTGCGGGCAAGGGGTGCGACAACGGCTTGTGCTGGCGACCAGCCGCACCATCCACGCAGTCATCCGCGCCTGCATCATGATCAGCATCATGATGCGCGCCGCCAGCAGAGCCCGTGCTCGGCAGCATGCCGCTCACCTCCTTGCATCAACGACTGACCGCTGCTGTGGTGGCCAACGGTGGAAGCCACGCTATGCAATGCCTCCCTCTAGAGGCTACGTGTCGATAAGGTAGCACGGCCGCCCTGTCCGTCCTTCACAGCACGCGCACCTCGTGCGCGGCGTGCGGAGAAATGTAGCTAGCTACAGCGCCGGGGTTTCCCCACCCCAGGAGAGCTTTGTGAATAGAACCAAAAAGAGGTTCACCGAGGGAGCGCGCGCACGCGCATCTCCAACCAATGAGGAGACAGTAAATTTAGAAGTAAAGATCCCTTCGCACGGATGGTAAAATGTACTGTACGACGGATCCGCGCCAGGGAGTGCTGGGGGTGTGAAGTTTCGCATTCCATTCCAAAGCATCGTGTAGCCTAGACTAGGACTCCTAGACTAGGACCAGCGATTCATTCCCCGTGGTCATGTGTACATTTCGTGGGGCCGATCCTAGCCGTCTCAAAAAGACAATGTCGCCCTCTTGTAGCGCGATTCGTTGTCTTCGGTTGCCATTGCGTGTCACAACCAGTGAAGATCTTGATTTTGGTGGTGTAGTGGGTGATTTCCCGATATTATAGTGAGCAGAATTCCAAGCTGAGGACGGAAAACAACACCAACATACGAATTGTATGCATAGACATGCAGGAAATTTCGAGAACCTGTGCGGCGGGTTGGTTATTGCCTAACAAGAAGTAGTTCGTACCGACAAGAGAACCAGCAACCGCAACAGACAAGCGAACCAGCATCAATACCGACAAGTGAATCAACAATCCAAACCAACAAGTGAACCGGCAACCAAAACAATCGCACGAGCCAACTTAACGGCAAACATGCCGTCTCAAATGCATGGTTACAGCACTGTTGATTCGCGGTGTTTCCTTTTCCTTCTGTCTCAACCTCTAGACCAACCCAACTGTAGACACAAGACACTAGACAAAATATGGACCAGACAAGATTGACGTCTTGCAACAGTCGACCGCCGGTTTGCCTACGGCAGGGCTGATTGTACCACGCTTGCTTGACAACGCTGCGCAATATTGCAGTACGACATTCAGTCTTGAACGCAAGAGAAGGCTGCCAGTGTCTTTTTCTTCACAGAGGATGGGAGTGGCCAAAAAAGATTCGATAACTAGCTTCTCGGACATAAAGAGTAACACTTCGAAGTGTGAACAACTTCGGATGCAGTTAGCACAATGAATAACTGGAACCTACTCTTATCTAAATGTATGTTTTGCGTGTTCACCACGCTGCCTCGCGACCACGAGACACGCCACCCTTCGAAAAGGATGCCCCCTACATGCTCCATGTACCAAGCAAGCGCTAGTCACGAAGACAGAACCGAAGAAAGAATCATCGACGCACCATCAGTTCCGACGACGAGAATTGCAATACAGTACCTGTGCTACACCAGTCACCGTGGACGTGAGCTAGACTCATGACGCCTCATGTGATTCACGCGATTTGGCCATGGGAATTTCCATGGCTGTCTCGTTCATCGCGTCTGCAGTGACCCACCGCTGTCGTCGTAGGCAGCTGAGTCACTCTCGTCCTCACGCCAGCAACACGGAACGATGATTGCTTCCGTAGTGCAGGCCTCCGCGCCATGCGTGCGCAGTATGCCTAACGACTATCCAGTTGTGCCCAAGCCATTTTTCGCACAACTTCCAGGCTGTTCTGAGTGCTGACCGTGTCTGGGTGGTTGAACCCGAGCCTCTTCGTCAAGATTGAGAGGGCCCTCTCCAAAAGTGGAATAGCCCCCGTGTACTTCTCCTGCAATCGAGTGAGATTGTACGGAACCAAATCATATTCCAGTGGGCACACCGCACCATTCACTTAGACCTTGGATCCACCTGTACAATAATGTAGTACACACCAGCAGTGGACTAGGGTTGGTCGAACCAGCCTGAAAAAGAAAAACGTCGACACACGCGTGAGAAATTCAACACGAACAAGGGCCTCATGATTGTGTGGTCGGACATAATGGCAGCTGCTGCACGTCACCCTCACTCTCACTAAGCCCGCTGACTAATAAAACAGCAATTCACGCCGAAACAGCTAGCTCTCCTCCCTGCGTTCTCCTACCTGCTTGTCCAACAATGACTGGATGTTGAGCACCACACCGTCCACTGTTGTACACCACAAAAAAAATTCCCGTAATTTCTGGCGGGTCTCACCTGTGTCTCCAACAACCCCGCCCAGTTGTTGAGGTGCGTAGCGACTTCCGGGTGGTCAAGACCGTAAAATCTCTCGTCGATAGCCAGCGATCGCTTGTACAGAGGCTCAGCCTCCTCATACTTGCCCTGGAATGTAACCGGAAAGGGAGAGAAGTATGTTCGTATGGGTAACGCTGCATGTGCGAGAGAACAAACGCCTGGTCGGCGTCCGGGTGCTCCAGGCCCAGAACCCACCCTTGTGTGGCTTCTGACCGTTCATAGAGTGGCCCTGTCTAGGCACACATGCCGCAACATGTTGTGGCAAAGAGTCGGAATCCAGTCACATTGGGATTTAGAACTGCTGAGGATTACAATATCTTAAAAAGCATCTAGAAACATTGTTGGCTCTCACCTGCCTCTCCAACAACCCTGCCCGGTCGTTGAGCGTTGCCGCTACATCAGGATGATTCGGACCTAGCACAGTCTCTCGTAAGGCTTGTGCCCGCTCATAGAATGGCTCGGCCTCAGCGTACTTGCCCTGTCATGCATAGCGTGGCAGAGCTGAAGACATAGTGTAATCAAATTGGAATGTACAACTGCTCGCGCATGAACCATTTCTCCAACCAAACACGTGCTGCCACAACCGGGTTCTATTGGCCCAGAAATAGCCCTCGTAAGGTTCATGACCATTCATAGAGTGGCTCTGGCTCAGTAAACTTGCCATGGTGCGTGAAAAACAGCGCCGCAGCGAGTTGCATTTCACTCAAACTGACGTCTACATTTGAAACATTTGCTTCTAGAAGCATCGCTTGGCTCTCACCTGGACTTTCAACAACCCCGCCCAGTTGTTGAGGACTGTAGCGACTTCCGGGTGGTTAGGACCGAGAACTTTCTCGTCGATAGCCAGCGAGCGCCTGTACAGAGGCTCAGCCTCCTCGTACTTGCCCTGGAGTGTGACGGGAAGTGAAAGGGAGAAGTTCGTTTGGTAACGCTATACTTGCGAGAGAGAACAAACGCCTGGGCGACACCCCTCCAAGCCCAGAACCTTCCCTCGTAGGGTTGTAACCGTCCGTAGAGTGGCCTTGTCTCAGCAAACGTGCCACGAAATGTTGTGGCAGAGGGTCCGAATCCAGTCACATTGAGATTGAGAACTGCTGAGGATTACAACATCTTAGAAGCATCTAGAAGCATCGTTTGGCTCTCACCTGTCTCTCCAACAAACCCGCCCGGTTGTTGAGCGTTACCGCCACATCAGGATGTTCCGGACCTAGCACCTCCTCTCGTATGGCTTGTGACCGCTCATAGAATGACTCGGCCTCAGCGTACTTGCCCTGTCATGCACAGCGTGGCAAAGTTGTACGCACATTACAATCAAATTGGCATGTGCAACTGGTCGCGAATGAACAACTTCTCAAACGCGCGTGCTGTTGTGAAGCGCCTGGGCCACACCGGGGTTCTCGGGGCCCAGTAAGTTTCCTCGTAAGCGCTATGACCATTCATCGACTACGTTCTGTGTCAGGATATTTGCCATGATACGTGATGAACAACGCGGCAGCAAACGGAATTTCACTCAAACTGACGTCAAATTTGCGGAGGGGTAGTTTCTTCTAGAAGCATGTAGAAGCGTCGTTTGGCTCTCACCTGCCTCTTCAACAACCCCGCCCAGTTATTGAGATCTCTAGCGACTGACGGGTGGTCAGGACCGTGAACTCTCTTGTTTATAGCCAGCGAGCGCCTGTACAGAGGCCCTGCCTCCTCATACTTGCCCTGGAATGTAACGAGAAGGGGGTTGGGGGGGGTCGTGCATGCCGTAGTCGTTAGACCATTGACCTCGCATCCCTACAAAGCCGGGACGGAGCACGCCGGGTTCTCACCGGACCAGGCTCTCATATCACCAAGCGCGAAGCGCCGTGAGGTATTCGGCGAGTCGCATGAAGGGTGCGCTGCATCCTGCGAAGGGTGTTCGGCATCTTGTGCTTATTTCCTTGCGTACGGATGACAGCTGCGTATGACTTAATATATTTTCTGGTGCGTTCACTTCCAGAGACAGTTATAAGCACTGTGTTAGTAACTGCCTCGAGGATGCTTGACCAATCTAACACAACGTGCGATTATCCCCCTTGCGCGGAGAGAGGGTTCTCGACCCCGCACAACATGATCTACTCGACCACCATTATGGTTACCGTAAAAAAAAAAACCAAAGGCAAAAAAACCCGGTAACCTGGTTGCTGAGCTCACGAAGTGATCGGCTTGTTTTACAACATCGCTGCCAAGCGAAGAAAACCCAATCCCGATGGCAAACACCGGGGGCGGCGGCTTGTTTTACAACGTCGTTGCCAAGCGACGAAAACCCAACCCCGATGGCAAACACCGAGGGGGGGGCTTGTTTCACAACGTCGTTGCCAAGCGACGAAAACCAACCCCGATAGCAATCACCGGGGGGATGTGACGAGAACGAAAAGAGAAATAGTGGTTTTGCCGTACTGTAGCGCGCGAGAGAACAAATGTCAGGGCGACATCCGGGTGCTCAAAGCCCAGAACCTACCCTCGTGTCGCTTGCGACTGTTCATAAAAGTGGCTTTGTCTCAGCGTACTTCCCACGATGTGTTGTGGAAGAGAGTCGGAATCTAGTCGCATTGAGCTTTAGAACCGCTGGGAGGCTGTTTTTTTACCCATCTTTACGGGGACAGCTTGATCTTGGGCCAAGATTTGTCAGTTTCACGACTTATGGGGCACAAATCTGGACAATCTTGACCAAGATTTGTCCGGGGCCAAAAAGTTGCCGTTTCGAACAAATCTTGACCCGAGATTTGTCCAAAGATTTGTCCAGGCGAGCTTGCTGGACAAATCTTGGCGCGGCGAGACAAATCTTGGTGGGTGCGGCGAGATTACCACAGGTCATTCAACCTTATCGTCCACAACGCTACGAAATCTGTACGTGGCACCTTCGCAAGGGCCTCTAACGTACCCTGACTTTACTGTGTCGACGCGACCGGCGCCGACAGTGGAGAAAAACCATCAAGGCGCGCGAAAAAAACACAATTTTTGCCCTGGCTTGTCCCGCGTGCGTGATCAACGGAGAGCACAGATCACCAACTTGACTGCGGATAACACCCGTTCACATCTCTCACTCCGTAGTTGACGCATTGAGGCCAAACCTTCGATACTGCCACCTCCACTAACCGTTCTCTCTCGGACACAAGTGAGGTGGTTGTGGAGTGCTTCCATCCAGAGATAAAATCATCGCTGGTGACGAGCTGTGGCTTCCTCTGTGGAGGGACCGTTCGAAGAGTACACAATTTTCAAGTAGATAAAAGAGCCGGCGGAATGTTTTTCCACAACAGCTCAGTCGTGTGCGATGCTTCTGTCTCTTGATCGAATCGCCCCACACCCAAGCCACTTGCACCCGAAACAGATCCGTGAATGCAGATGACGGCACCGAAGGTTTGACCTCGGTACACCTACTACGTAGTGAGATGCGTGCACGGTTGTCATCGCCTCTCGGGTTGATGCACATTTTCGGCCGTTACACAGCAACGGATCAGATTTGTTTCTTCGTCTGCATGACACCGCGGGCAACGTCGCCCCTTGTTATACTACACATGACAAACACGGAAACAGTAGAATGAGGACAGCAGCAGCCCCAAGGCCTCCAACGCGCTGACTCCTTGGCTGTCTGTATGATCCTCACTCCCGGCGCTGTGCTGCTTCGTGGGTATTGGGGGCTCGGGTGCAGCTCTAGAAGGTGTGTGAGAGATGTGTACCACCTCGCCAAACTGCCGTTTGAAAAAATGCGGTGAGATGGCCTGTTTTGAGTCGGAGACAATCCCACAAACCCACGGCACCACGCAGCAGTAGAGCAATAGGGCCTTCGACACGCTACTTCTTTCGGAACGGTCATGATATGATACTGACCCTCGGCGCCGCCGCCTCTCTACGTCTACCTTTCGACAGGGAGCGGTAAGAAAGGTGAGTCACACTTGGGTCACCACGCGAAAAATGAGCGAAAGGACTTGAGGAAATCGCAGGTGACACTGTTCCCTGCCCCCGGTGCTGAAAACGGCAGGCTGGGAAGATAGGGTATTTTAACTTTTAACAAGTGTGCTGTCCTCTGTGTCGGTGCTCATTTTTTTGCTTGTACCACCGCTCTATGGAGAGCAAAGCCATTTGACCTGTGTTGTGTGTCAAGCAAGGCGTGCATCCTCCGATAGGAAACGTTTTCTTGGAGGAATTTTTGTCACCGATTCGTTTCTTTGGGGGGTTCGATACGTAGGAATACGCCTCAGTAACACGTACTTCCACCTGTGGACGCACACGTCTGACGACAGTTACATCTATCAGCTGTCGCTCATTGTAGCGAAAGCTATCCTATCCTATCTCGCTTGCTAGATCACCCCTCCTGCCGAAACTTGCGAGGATATGAGCTCCATCAACTTCTCTCTGTTGGAAGGGGCTGTGTCATTGCTTTGGTTCGGTCAGTGGAGGGACACCTAACACGTCACCGGTGAAACGGCAAGAAACCTGTACAGCAGTGAGCGGCAGTCATCTTTTCAACAGCGGTCGACCCTCGCCAACTTCGTTGCTCAGCCTCCCAGCCTCCCAGCGCGTTAAGGTCCCTGAAAACCACTGCACAACAAGCATGCTACGGGCGGCTGCATGCTATCTGTTGGTTCGTTCGGTGAAAAGGGGTCCGTACGAAACCAAACCTGTGACGGCGCAAAAAGCTGTCAACAGCTGTATGTTCGACCGGGGGGTCCTTTTCGAACAGTGGTCGTCCTCTCGCCAGCTTCAATTCCCTGCACCCCCACATGCGGCACCATACGCACAGCTACGGGCGGATAGCTTTGCTATTGCTGTTGTGTCACCCAACGCACACCCGAAAAACCAAATCGGCGATGATCTTGTTCGGGATAGCAAGTGGAAACAAATAAACCGCCGCATTCCCTGGCCAGCAGTGCAAACACAACTCGACTGCACCATACGAACTGTCACCGGTGACAAACACGATGTTCCTTTTTTGTAGAAAGTTGTACATTTTTTTCATTCAATTTTCTGTTCATGTAAGACACCGCCTAAGGAATACCATAATTTCGAAGCATCTAGAAACATCGTTTGGCTCTCACCTGCCTCTCCAACAGCCCCGCCCGGTCATTAAGCGTTGCCGCTACATCAGGATGCTCAGGACCTAGCACCTTCTCTTGTAAGGCTTGTACCCGCTCAAACAATGGCTCGGCCTCAGCGTACTTGCCCTGGCATGCATTCGTACACAGCGTGGCAGAGTTGTACGCATACTGCAATCAAATTGAGAACTAAACAAGTTGCGGACAAGCAATTTCTCAAACGCGTGCTGCAACAGCCGGGTTCTAAAGGGCCAGAAATATCCCTCGTAAGGTTCATGACACATTCATAGAGTGGCTCTGGCTCACCATGATACGTCAAAAACAGCGCCGCAGCGAGTCGAATTTCGCTCAGCTGACGCCTACATTTGCGGCGGAATATTTGCTTCTAGAAGCATCGCTTGGCTCTCACCTGGACTTTCAACAACCCCGCCCAGTTGTTGAGGACTCTAGCGACGTCCGGGTGGTCAGGACCGTGAACTTTCTCCTTTATAGCCAGAGAGCGCCTGTACAGAGGCTCAGCCTCCTCATACTTGCCCTGGAATGTGACGAGAAGGGAAAGTGAGATAGTGGTTTGGTTACGCTGTTCTTGCGAGAGAACAAAGGCCTGGGCAACATTCGGATGCTCCAAGCCCAGAATGTACCCTCGTATGGCTCGTGACCGTTCATACAGTGGCTCTGCGTCAGCACAGTTGTCATGATGCCGCAAGGATGCGACAGATGGCACGGTTCGGAGACATGGCACCGGGTGCGCAAAAAGAAGCAAGAACGGCATGATAGAGTGCTTGCCAAAGTGGAGCTAGTCCGCTTTTTTTGCTGTTGTACTGAGGTACCTGGGCACTCTTACATGCGTGCGGCGACGGAACCATCGGGGCAAACCTCTGATATGTAAAGTCGCAGCCCACACCGTAAAATGTCGGCTGCAGTAATGTAATCGGTAAGGAATTGCGCGTTCAACCAACAACACACAACACAAATGCCACAACCTACCGCTACAGTACGCCAAAGCCAACTCGTAGCTGACCCCATTACCACTGACTGCCGCGTACTGGACTCTTTAGACCTTATGCCTTCCAGCCGGGAACAACCGCTCCTGGTGATGCGGCCACACAACAAACGACTGCTGCTGTGCCTGCGGTGTGTTCCTGTACCGTACGACATACACATCTGCTTGCAAACTGATACCGATAAGCCTGTTGTGGTGGTATGGAATACCGCAATAGTGGGAGAGATGGCACCGGGGTGCGCGTTTTCAGCACCGCCGTACCACCGGTTACTCAAGTACTGAAGGGCCGCTGTATGTATTTATTTGGGCATCGCACCGGGTGAGGAGATAGCACGGCGGCCCCTTGAAATAGTTGAGTGAAATGATTAATTGTATTTCGTATTTCCGCCCCGGGGTCGGAGAGATGGGACCGAGGTGCGAAAAAAAAGTCAAGAAACAAGCGATGTTTACAATTTCGATCGCACCCGGTGCCGTAACTCGCGTACTCACGGTACGTGGTGAAAGAGTGTGGCAGAGAATCAGAATTCAATGAATTCTAAACATGTTTGTAGAGCACCTGGCAATATTTTGCTTCTAGGAGCTATAGAAGCATCGCTTGTTCCTCAACCAGGCATGCAGTCGATTACAGCGTGGCAGACTTGTACTCATAGTTAAGTCAAAGTGGGATCTACCACTGGTCGCGGATAAACCGTGGCTCAAACATACGCGTGCTGGTGTGAAGCGCCTGGGCGATACCGTGGTCCTACAGGCCCAGCGAGTTCCCTCGTATGGCTCGTGACCATTCATAGAGTAGCTCTGGCTCAGTATACTTGCCATGATATGTGATAAACAGCGCGGCAGCGAGCCGGGTTTCCACTCAAGTTGACGTCTAAATTTGCGGAGGAATACGTGCTTGTGGAACTATCGTTTGGCTCTCACCTGCCTCTGCAACAACCCCGCCCGGTTGTTGAGGCGTGTGGCAAGAGCTGGGTGGTTGGGACCCAGCGTTTTCTCTCCAATCTCAATGGCTCGAAGGTACAGAGGGTCTGCCTCAGCATACTTGCCCTGGAAACGGAAAGACAGCGCCATGAGAGTGTGGTCAAGGAGACGAAGAATACCGCTGAGGTGCAAATGCTCAGCACCCCCCCCCGGTTGTTGAGCACCACGTACAACATCCATAGGGCGCCAAGAGCGTTTTACTGGCGTCTCTTTACCTGCACTCTCAACAATTTCGCCCGGTTGTTGAGCGATGAAGCCACATCAGGATGTTCTGGACCAACCACCTTCTCTAAGATGGCATGTGACCGCGCGTACAGTGGCTCGGCCTCGGCGTACTTGCCCTGAAGTACGAGAGAGAGGGCAACAGGGACTGTGGTTACATATAAAAGCCTTTGATTGCGGAGGAACCAAATACTCAACAGCCCCGTCCACTTGTTGACGTCTGTAGGACCGTAAACGTGCTCGTCGACAGCCAGCGAACACCTGCTCAGAGGCTCAATCTCCTCATACTTGCCCTGAAATGTGACGGGAAGGGAAAGAGAGAAAAATAGTTTGTGACGCTGTTGCATGTGCGGGAGAACAAAGGCCTGTGCGATATGCGGATGCTCCAAGTCCACAACGTACCCTCGTATGGCTTGTGACCGTTTATGCAGTGGCTCTGGCTCGGCACCGTGGTCATAATGCCGCAAGGATGCGAGAGCTGGCACGGTTCGGAGAGATGGCACCGGGGTGCGCAAAAAAAAGCAAGAACAAAATGATACATTGCTTGGCAAGTGGGCCCAGGCCACGGTTTGAGCTGCTGGACTGAGGTACCTGGGCACCTTTGACATGCATGTGGTGAGAGAAATATCGGGACGACACTAAATAATGTACGGTTGCAGTGCACGGTGACAATGGCGGTTGCATGAATGTAAATCAGTAAAGAATTGAGCCCTCAACCATAAACACACCACACCTAAGCCACAACGTACCGCTACAGACGCTACGCCAAAGCCAACTCGACCGACACCCCATGATCACTGGCTGCTGTTTACCATAGTCCTTAGCCGTTAAGCCTGCTACATTGGTACCTAGGTGATGCGCCCCCACCAAGACAAACGACTACTGCTGTGCCTGCTGTGTGTATTTCCTGTACCGAACGATATATACACCTGTTTGCACACCTGCAACCGAAAATCCTGTTGTGGTGGTATGGAATGGAATACCGTAGTAGTGCGAGATATGGCACCGGAGAATGGGGTCCCTTGAAAAAGCTACGTGAAATGAATATATAATGTGTTTTCGCACAGGAGTCGGAAATATTGCGCCGGTCGGAGAGATGGCACCGCGGTGCGGAAAAAAAGCCAAGAAAAGAGTGCAATTTCGATCGCACCCGGTACCATCTCTCGCATCCTTACGGTTCGTGGTCAAGGGCGCGGCAGAGAATCAGAATTCAGTGAAATCCAGATAGATGTAGAACAGCGCAGGACATTTTCTTCTAGAAAGCATCGTTTGTTCCTTACCTGGCTCTCCAATAATCCCGCCCGGTTGTTGAGCGATGTGGCCACATCAGGATGCTCCGGACCTAGCGCTTTCTCTCGTATGGCCTGTGACCGCTCGTGCAGTGGCGTGGCCTCAGCGTACTTGCCCTGGCACGCACAGCGCGGTAGGGTCGTATGCATAGCGCAATCTAATGGACATCTACACAACTACGGGACGATTTCTCCACCACACGCGTGCTGTTGTGAAGCGCCTGGGCCACACCCGGGTTCGACAGGCCCACCAGGTTCCCTGTATGATATACAACCGTTCATTGAGTCGATCTGTCTCCGCACCGTTGTCATGATGCCGCAAGGATGCGAGAGATGGCACCGGGGTGCTCAAAAACAAATAGGAACAGCATCATACATTGCTTGGCAAGTGGGCCCAGGCCACGGTTTGAGCTGCTGGGCTGAGTTACCCGGGCACCTTCTACATGCATGTGGTGAGGAAATCATCGGGGCAACACTCTTTGAACGTACGGTCGCAGTCCACACGGGTAAAATGGTGGTTGCAATAGTGTAAGCAGTAAAGAATTGCGCGCTCAACCCAAAACACTCAACACACACGCCACCACCTACCGCTATAGACGCTACGCCAAAGCCAACTCGACCGACACCCCATGGCCACTGGCTGCTGCGTACCAGAATCCTTAGCCGTTAAGCCAGGCGGCAACATTGGTACCGAGGTGATGCGCCCCCATCACAACAAACGACTGCTGCTGTGCCTGCTGTAAGTGTTTCCTGTACCGTAAATACGATGCACACATGTGCTTGCACACGGAACCGAAAATACGATTGTGGTGGTACGGAATACCGTAGTAGTGCGAGAGATGGCACCGGGGGGCGCGTATTCCGCACCGTCATACCACAAGTTACTGAAGCACTGAGACGCCGCTGTACGTATTAATTCGGGCATCGCACCGATATGGCACGGGGGTCCCTTGGAAAAGCTAGACGAAATGATAAAATTGTATTTCCGATCCGGGGTCGGAGAGATGGATACGGGGTGCGGAAAAAACCCGAGAAAAAAACAGTGCAGTTTCGATCGCACCCGGTGCCATCTCTAGCATCCATACAGTACGTGGTCAAGAGCACGGGATAGACTTCAGTGAAATCCAGACAAATCTAGAACACCGGACAGCATATTCTTCTAGAACCACCTAGGTGCATCGTTCGTTTCTCACCCTGGCGTGCAGTCGTACACAGGGGTGGCAGAGTTGTACTCATAGTTGAGTCAAAGTGGGATCTACAACTACGGATAAACAAATTCTCAACCACACGCGCGCTGCGCTTGGACCACACGCGGGTTATACAGGCCCAGCACGTTTCGAAGATAATGATTTATAACCGTTCATAGAGTGGCTGTGGCTCGGCCCACTTTCCCTGATATACTATGAACAGCGCGGCGCGGAGACAACTTGACAAGGACACACCCTCGGTGGTGACGGCGGTCGAACCTTTTCAAACACGACGACACACAACACACACCACTCGGCCGCTCGGAAGAAAAAAAACTCACGCGTTGCGCAGCACGCTACACCTCTCAGGGTCAGTCTACCCGGCAAACAGATATCAAAGCAAAAAGCTCGCTCGGAGTAGGGGCGCATCCAAAAGGTTGAGGTTCCGTGGCGATCGGCGTTTGCATCCGCGTGATCTGAGTGAAAGTGCGATGTGGGGCGTGTGCCCAGTGTCACAGGAGCCACATGCCAGCAAAAGGGCGTGGTATTCTTTGCGCGCGATAGACGGGCCAACTATCGCAAGGGTGAAAAAAAAAAAGAGATCTCCAGTTCGATGGCTTATGGAAGAAAGTAGGTAGACAGCGCAGAGTAGACAGTCTGGTGGCGCTGCATCACGGGCAACGTGAGTTCCTCGGTTCACGCATGAAAGTGGTGTGCAGGAGAAAAAAACTGGCCAACAGCCACGTGGGTGTCATCACATGCATGACTTCTTGAAAACGTTAAAAAAAAACACCAGGGAGAGGCAATCCGGTCTTCGCAAGCGGTCTTGAAATCAATTCCAGATCTTGATTTCGAACTTCTCCCCACTACAAGGACCACCATCAAAGACCCGTCCGCGAACACCCTCATTGGGCAGAGTTTGGCTCTCACCTGCGTCTTCAACAACCCCGCCCGGTTGTTGAGCACTGTTGCAACCGCAGGATGATCCGGACCAAGCGTTTTCTCTCGAATGGCCTGCGAATGCTCGTACATAGGCTCAGCCTCCTCATACTTGCCCTGGAATGTGACGGGAAGGGAAAGAGAGAAGATCGTTTGGGGAAGGTGTATGAGCGAGAGAACAATAGCCTAAGCGACAACCGGATGCTCCAAGCTCAGAACGTACCCTCGTTGGCTTGTGACCATTTATACAGTGGCTCTGGCTCGGCACCGTTGTCATGATGTCAAGAGGATACAAGAGATGGCACGGTTCGGAGAGATGGCACCGGGGTGCGCAAAATACAGGAGGAACAGCATGATAGATTGCTTGGCAACTAGGCCCAGGCCACGGTTGAGCTGCTGGACTTAGGTACGTGAGAAACCTTTTACATGCATGTGGTGAGGGGGCAACTCGTTGTATGTACGGTCACAGTCCACGCGCTACACACTTCGGTTGCATTTACGTAATCGGTAAGGGATTGCGCGCTCAATCAAAAACACACGACACACAAAAGCCACAACCTACCGCTACGGAAGCTACGCCAAAGCCAACTCGAATTATACCCCGTGACCACTGGCTGCTGCGTACCAGAATCCTACGTGATGCGCCCTCACCACAACAAACGACTGCTGCGGTGCCTGCCGTGTATGTTTCCTGTACCGCACGATGCACACATCTGTCTGCACACGGAACCGATAAGCCTGCTGTGGTGGTACGGAATACCGCAACAGTGGGAGAGATGGCACCGGGGTGCGCGTATTCAGCACCGCCGTACCACCGGTTATTCAAGTACTGAAAGGCCGCTATACGCATTTTGGATACGGCACGGGGGTGGGTCCCTTGAAAAAGCTAGACGAAATGATAAAATTGTATTTCCGACCCGGGGTCGGAGAGATGATCCCGGGGTGCGAGAAAAAGATAAGAAACAAGCGATGTTTACAATTTCGATCGCACCCGGTGCCATCTCTCGCATCCTCAAGGTACGTGGCGAAAAGTGTGGCAGAGAATCAGAATTCAGTGAACTCAACACAGATTTAGAACACCAGACAATCATTTTCTTCTAGACATATCGAGGCACAAACCTCACCCTGGCATGCAGTCGTACACAGCGTGGAAGAGTCGTACTCACAGTTAGGTCAAAGTGGGGTCTATAACTGCGAATAAACAATTTCTCAAAGACATGCATGCTGTTATGAATCGCCCGGGCCAAACCCGAGTTCTACAAGCCCAGCACGTTCCCTCGTGATTTTGTTTTTATAGCCGGTCATAGAGTGACTCTGGCTCAGCCCACTTGTCATGACATGCGATAAACAGCGCGGCAGAGAGGCAAATCGACAAGTAGAATTGCGGAGAGTTTGGCTCTCACCTGCGTCTCCAACAACCCCGCCCGGTTGTTGAGCGCTGTGGCCACACTCGGGTGCTCCGGACCCAAGGCCGTCTCGAATATCGCCTGGCACCGCTCGTACAGTGGGTCGGCCTCAGCGTACTTTCCCTGGCATGCAGTCGCACACAGGGGTGGCAGAGTTGTATTCATAGTTCAGTCAAAGTGGGATCTACAACTAGGGATGAACAATTTCCCAAAAACACGCGTGCTGTTGTGAAGCGCCTGGGCCACACCCGGGTCCTACAGGCCCAGCGAGTTCGCTCGTATGGCTTACGACCGTTCTTAGAGCGGCTCTGGCTCAGCACACTCGCCATGATACGAGAAAAAAAGTGCGACAAGAGAGTTGCATTTCATTCAAATTGAGGTCAAATTGGCGGAGGAATACGTGATTCCAGAAGCATACTTTGTTTCTCACCTGCCTCTCCAACAACCCCGCCCAGTTGTTGAGATCTGTAGCAACGTCCGGGTGGTCACGACCATAAACCTTTTCGTGGATAGCCAGTGAGCGCCTGTACAGAAGCTCAGCCTTGTCATACTTGCCCTGGAAGGTGACGGGAAGGGAACGAGAGAAAATCGTTTGGTGACGTTGCTACATGTGCGGGAGAACAAATGTTCGGGTTACATCCGGATGCTCCTGCCCCAGAAGATACCCTCGTATGGCTTGTGGCTTGTAATCGTCCATAACGTGAATCTCTCTCGGCACAGTTGTCATGATGCCGCAAGGATGCGGCAGATGGCACTGTTCGGAGAGATGGCACCGGTCGGAGAGGTGGCACGGGGTGCGGAAAGATAAAGCAAGAATGGCATCATTGATTGCTCGGCAAATGGGCTCAGGCCACTTCATTAGCTGCTGAAATGAGGTACTTGATGCATATGGTGAGGGAACCATCGGGACAACTCCTATGTATCGCCTAACATCGCTCAAAGAGTGGTTCGGCCTCAGCGCGCTTGCCCTCGCATGCACTTGCACACAATAAGGCAGAGCTTCACGCATATTGCAATAAAAAATTGGGACTTACACCTGGCCTCAGATAAACAACTTCTCGACCACACGCGTGCTGTTGTGAAGAGCCAAGGCCACACCCGGGTTCTATAGGCCCAGCAAGTGCCCTCGCAAGGCTTTTGGCTGTTCAAAGAGTGGCTCTGGCTCAGCACACTTGCCATGATATGTTGTGGCAGAAAGTCATATTGTATTCAAATTGACTTGTAGAACTTTGGGGGATATTCTTCTAAGGGCGTCTAGAAGCACCGTGTGGCTCTCACTTGCTTCTCCAACAACCCCGCCCGGTTGATGAGCGTTGCGGCCACATCAGGATGCTCCGGGCCCAGCACCTTCTCTCGTAATGCTTGCGACCGCTCATAGAATGGCTCCGCCTCAGTGTACTTGCCCTGGGGCATGCAGTCGCACACAGCGCGGCAGAGTTGCACGTATATTACAATCAAAGTCGGTTCTTAAACTGGTCGCGGATAATTAAAATCTTCACCACGCCCGCCCCGGTTGTCGAGCGCCCGGGCAGCGTCCGGTTGCTCCAGGACCAGGACCTCCCCTAGGTGGGTTGTGACCGTTTATAGAGTGGCCCGGTCTCGCCAAACGTACTAAGACATGTGATGAACAGTACGGAAAAGAGTCGGAGTCAACATTAGATCTAAAACTGCGGAGGAATTCTTCTTCTAGAAGCATCGTTTGGCTCTTACCTGCCGTTCAAATAACGCCGCCCGGTTGTTGAGCAACGTAGCCACGACCTGATGCTTCGGACCGAAGACCTTCTCTTGTATGGCCTGTGACCTCTCATAGAGTGGTTCGGCCTCAGCGTACTTGCCCTGAGCGAAAACAGTGTGTTGTGTCAAGGTAGTGGTTCACCCAGAAGGGAAAAAACTAACATGGGTACAATAGCGCCTACGGTTGAAGAGGAAATCATTGAGAGAACTACCGATTAAAGAGAGTTGAACCGGCTTGGCACGACCAAAATCGATTTTAGAAGGGATTTTGTCATATTTCGTACGTTTTCTCTTATCGAGCTCCTGGAAGCCACATCAAAGTGTGGGTGGATTATTCTCGTGGATGCCGGTCCATCGGTGGGCTCGAGTTGTAGTTCTAGAGGAGGTGCGAGTATGAAATCAGCACACCTTGAACAAGGCAACAAAACTACAGTTTATCAACGTGCAAACAAATGTGCCGCGGAAACACCATGATATATTTCCCAACACAGGTACCGTACCAAGAACGTACCAAGCACCTGGGGTCAATATTGCTCGCCAACCGACAGACAAAGCGGTGTGTGGGGCTAGCCCAAGGTGCTGGCGCCAGCTGCGATACATGTGACATGAATGTACAACGGCACATACTGTAGTTGGAACGAGAGGCTTCGGCTACGGTACTACAGAACATTCTCTTAAAGAGAGATATGGTTGTAAGGGAATATTCTGTCACACCGCAGCCAAAACGATACCATATATAAAACATACAACAGATATAAAAGAGAGATACTGGGTTGGCACGACCCTTTCTTTAACCCTAGCCACTCCTGTAGACAAATTGACCAGACCTCTCTCATCAAGAACGACAGCCACATGCCATCTGGAGAACAGACGCTCATCTCTCGTCTTCAAATCAAGGTGCCCGTTCCTTTGCCAGTTGGTGTAAGGGACGCCGACTCGCCAACACTTGGAATAACCAACAGTTGCGAGCACGATTGTCATCGAAAGCCTTGCAAAAAACAAACGCTTGGCCAGACAGAATCATATTTCCAACCTCACGGTGTACAGCGACGGTACATACATCTCCGGGGACTACGCATATGTGATGGGTGTGATGGACTTGACGGGCTAGGCTCTTCTTCCCTTGACCTGGTCTCACTCTCAAATTCATACTTCTACAAGCAAATGTTCTGACACTCCTTCGTGCAGAAACGCCGTCCACAAGAGAACGCGAGCGTCAATACGCACTACACGCGCCGAGACCCTACCAACACATTTTTCTCTCTCATGTCGAACCTCAACCCGCACGCGCTTGACATCGCCATGCAGGCTACTAGCGTGGCGGCGACCGCCGGAAGCGGTCGTCCGCGCAGCACCCTTGAACTAAACTGGACAACGTACACCCTCCGAATAGTGCAGAATCCCCCCCAAAACATCTGCCGTACCTGAATGTTGAACAAGAAACCCACAGATCCGCAGGATCTCGCCACGGCTTCCGTTGCCTCGCATGACTTCAACCCCCCGAGGCTGGCGCGATACGAGGCAACCTCCAGCTCAGGGTCCCCCGAGAGCGTCTTCACCGAGCGCCAGAGGGCATCCAAAAAGAAAAGGCCTTGGTCTCCAGCGCCGTGCTCCGGGTTTCCGTAACTCTTGAGCACGTCCAGTCTGCCGAGGTACTGCGCCTGCAGCGATGTGGCCTTTTCCAGCGCCTCCTTCTCTGCCCTAATGCCAGTCTTCGCAAACTCCAGGACCAGGTCGTGCACACGGTACCCACCACCACCACCACCACCCACAGCGTGTAGAAGGCATTTGCTCACCAGACCCTCAGCTTCGTCTCGCGTACTCTCTGCGTCCTGCAGATACACGTAACACCGGAACGACATGAACTAGGGTCGTCACGCAGCACAGCAGTTCGAAGACCGTAGAAACCGGGCACGCGCTCTCTGTCGCGCAACCCGCTAGACGTGCGTACATCTATAACGGGCACATGGTTTCCAAACCGTTCAAAGACTTCCAACTACCTGGTAAAAATGACGCCGCAACGTACCCCTATCTCCCACAGATTGCGCAGCATCTCGATCGGCGCAAGAGCACCCGCGGCCAACACAGCCATCTTCAGGAACTCTTCTTGTTTCCGAACTGCCAAGGAGTCGAAACTGGTCTCAAGGACAACTTTGATAGACGATGACTGCTCGCCCCGGGCTCGCATTTTCTTGGCCACGTTCTCCAACTCTTTGGCCAGTTCCTCCCAGGCCCCAGCTCTCAAACCCTTCCCTTTCACGACGGGCATGGAACCCACGATAGCGAGCACCAACGGCAGGTGTCCACAGAGCGCAACGACCTGGATCGGGGTTCGTCGGGAGTTGAATGCTCGGTCGAGTCGAGCACGACGATGTGTTTGACAGCAGTGCATAACTCTTATATGTACACAGGGCGTAACAGCTCTATGGAGGGCCCTTACCACACGGTAAACGATCCCGACATACATGGTAAATACAAGTTGAAGCGTAAAATAGCGCAGGCTTTACGGGGAGGTAGTTAGCGACGACATGGGTTGACCATCGACAAACACAAGTGCACGCGCCGCTCCACATGAAAGCCGTCATTGGTGTCATGCCACTCTCGCCGTCACCGGGAACGGAGGGCATGCCATCAGAGCAGACTGAAACACACCAAACCAAACTCGACGTGCGTTGTTCATCGCATAAACACCTGTGACACTCAGCATCAAGCCACCAATCGATTCCAAGCTCAACTCCAGGCAGCACTCAAGCAGACAATCAATGCATGAAGCCATGCATCAGCAAAACATGCACACCCTGATGCACCTTGTCGACCTAAGATTCAAGGCGCATCCATCACCTTGGTCATCTTCGTCCGGACATCGTCACCAGGCTAACCCACAGTCCCGCTCGTCTTCCGCAGCAGCTCCAGCGCCTCTTCCTCCGTCATGTCTCCCAGCTCCAAGCGCCCGGCCGGCACACCAACAACCGATCGATCACGCGTGGTCAGTAGCACCTTAAACCCCAGAGGAAGAAACGCGTCCACGACCTCGCGCTCCCACACATCGTCCAGGATCACCAGGCGTGGGGAGGTGCCGGTGGATGCAACTGCAGCCAGATGCTGCTGCACCTGCTCGAGGCTGTCAAGGACGTGAGGCACCCCGTGCGGGGCATCCGTCGGCGCCGCGCCCATCTCCCTGGCCAGGCCCTGGAGGAGAGCCAGGAGGCTGCTCTTCGCGCCCCTCCCCACTCTCACCCAAAAAATACCGCCGCGGAAGTGCTCCCTCACGCTCGGCTTGCGAACGACAGCAGAGGCCAGCACGCTCTTCCCCCCTCCACCCATACCGACGACGGTGTAGGGGGCACGGGACTCCTCCGGGGCGGTGAGGCCGTCGGCAACTTCTTGTACCGCAGCTCGCTCCACGTAGCTGCTGCCGGGCAAGTCAAGCGCTCCTGCGGGGACCGCAGCCATGTCCGGCAAGCTTGGGGGGAGCAAAGAGGGAAGCGCCGCCAAAAACGACTGGTGGTGCTCCAGCCCGTGTACCAAGGCGATGCCGCTCCTTATCCTGCGGAGGCACTTCTCGAAGCCGGCTAGGGCGCTCAGGTCTGGGTGATGGCAAAAAAACGCTCTACACTTGCCGCCCTTGGCCCACCTAGCCGCGAACCCTGCTAGCTCGTTGGTCGTGACGACGAAGTCTTGGATGGGCTTGTGCACCTGGGTGAGGGGACCCACCGCTCGACCGTGCTGGATCAAGACGGTGGCGAGGAACGCGCACTGGGACACCAAGCTCTGTAGCTTGTCCTGGGATTCGGCCGCACCCTCTGCGGCCTCGATCAACGCCTTGAAGGCCTCGCACACAGGCACTAAGGGCCCTACGCTCGCAACGCCGAGCACCCCAACTGCAGAGGTCGTCATCCATGTTAGAGCCTCCTCGGAGACGGTGGGGCAAGCCTCCCACTCCTCTGTCGCTCGAGCTCCAATGTGGAGAAAGGCGGGCCAAGGCTTATTTTCGGCGAGCAGCTTACTAACATGTTCAAGCCGCTGCGAAGGGGGGGAGGGGGGGGGCAGGGAGGGGAATTCGAGTACGGAACTACTGATGTGTCAGGTTTCTGTGAGCTAAAAAGGTCGGACATTGGACCAAAAGCACCTCTTTTTGATAAAACATGGTGTCGTTCGAGTGAAAGTAGTTACTGCTGTGATACGCACCTCTACCGTGGTGGGCTCGACCACTACTGCTGCTGCAAGGCCCGCTTGGTCTCCACTGGCGGGAGCACGTTGCATCCCGCGGCCGTTACTGCTGTGGCATACGTCGGCCGCTTGCTGTGAATCAAACGAAACATCCGGCAGAGAGGTGCACAGTACGAAACGAAATTTATAAGGGCTTCTTCTTCGTGCGCTGAATCATGCCGAGAAATACACTCACAGCGGCACATGGTTCACGGAAGACTCTTGTAACCCGTTGGTCAACTGCTGCGCCACGATAGTCATGTACATGCTGCTGCGCCAGATTGTGTTGTATAACAACCAAAGTGCTGATGTGATCATACCGGTTTGTGCTCGCGGGGGAAGATCCCCTTCTCACACAAGCGAACAACGGCGCATCGGTCGTTGTGCGTGTGTGTTTTCGTCCTTTTTATTTTGGCGGACATTCCCCCCATTTTTTGTGGTGAGACGTGTACTACACATTACGTTTTTCAGCGTATTTGTGAAGCGTGACAAGTTGCCCCCACCCCATATCCCCCCCCCTCGGTGTTTCCCATCGGGATTGGGTTTTCGTCGCTTGGCAATGACGTTGTAAAACAAGCCAGTTCACTTCGTGAACTCGGCAACCAGGTTACCGTTTTTCTTTTACCTCTAGTTTTTTTTTGGCGGTAACCATAATGGTGGTCGAGTACAATAGATCATGTTGTGCGGGGTCGAAAACCCTCACTCCGCGCAAGGGGGATGATCGCACCACGTTGTGTTAAAATGGTGCATCCTTGAGGCAGTTGCACAGTGCTTACAACAGTCTCTGGAAGTGAAAGCACCAGAAAATAAATTAAGTCATAACTAGCTGTCATCCGCACGCAAGGAAATAAGCACAAGATGCCGAACACCCTTAGCAGGATGCAGCTCACCCTTCATGCGACTCGCCGAATACCTCACGGCGCTTCGCGCTTGGTGATGTGAGAGCCTGGTCCGGTGAGAACCCGGCGTGCTCCGTCCCGGCTTTGTAGGGATGCGAGGTCAATGGTCTAACGACTACGGCATGCACGACTATGAGTACACCCCCCCCCATACATACGGGTCCAACAAAAAAAAATTAAATTATTTCGCGCGAAGCGCGAAAAGAAGGGTCGGAGAGAGACATCAAAGCAACCGTAGATAGATATGGGGGGAGCCTACGCCACCACGTAGGTCACCAGTGCGCACGCTCACACCTCACCCGATACCACCAGTCAGTCAGGGGATGAATGGGAGCGCTGTTGAGCTCTCATCATCATCAGCTCAGCGGCAGCAGTGCTGCTGCTGCTGCTGTTGTTCTGTTGTTGTTGTTGCTGCTGCTGTGTGCATGGGTGCGCACTTGCTTTTGCTTTCGCTACTAGCAGAGGGCAACGGGCTCCAAAAATTGGCCCCGACCCCTCCCACGACGTGTGTATTTGGATGCCTTTGGCCTACAGTGCTGTGTACGTTTCACTTGTCTCTGTTTCTGTGGTGCGTCTGTTGTGGAAGCAAAGATCGGCCGGCAGACGAAGAGACCGCAGACAGATCTAAGTTGTGTGCACTCGCATGTTCCCTCGCTTACTACGCTGCTAGCAGTAGGCCTCGGGGTCTAAAACTAGCTTCCGACGCCAGCCATGATGTGTGCCTTTGGCCGACCTTGGTCGATGGCAGTGTGTTCGCCTCGTTTTCTCTGTTATGGGGATGCGTCTGTGCGGGAAGCTCCAAAGATCGGTAGGTTGAGGGTGATGCAGAAGGACCGCGGATTGATTTGCGTCGCCACTCGCTTGTTTGTGCTGCCGACAGCAGGCAACGGGCTTCAAGAGCCATATCCAACGCCTCCTATGATGTGTGCCTTTGGTTGCCCTTGGCCTACAGCAGTCCGTATACTGCTGTGCTGGTTGTCTCGTATATTGTCTACGTGAGGTGTGTGGTGCTGCTGTGCAAGAGGATTTCGGTGATTCTCCCGAGAGCATCGTGCCCATCGCTCAATCAGCTGTGTCTGTCCAACATAGTGTCCTACATAGTCGACATGTGATTGGTGGGAGGACGGCATCTACCCGGCTCTACCCCTCTGAAATTTCGATGATTTTTTTTGTTCTTCCGGTCCAACAAAATTTTTGCCTTGCGTATGGGTCTACGGACGCCGAGTCATGCTTCTTCGGAGTCCCGGAAACAACTTGGATGGAAGCAGCGAAGGTGGACCGGGGGTTACCTTGGCATAGAGGGGTACTGCAGGGAGCTGAGAGGTTCATGGCCTCCTGGCACAAGAAAGAAGAGGAGGCTAGCCGACAACGAGCGCTCAAACAAAACAAGAAGCCCAACAACGACACGGACACGGCAACCACCACGAGGGTGGGAGGGGTACAGCAGGCGGACGAGATGGCGAGGAAAGGCAGGAAACGCGAAGAGGCGGACCGAGTAGCGCGAAACACCGTGCCGAATTGAAACACTTGCTTGACTTATCCCCCCCCCCCCCGGTGTTCGTTCCCCCCCCGGTGTTTGCCATCGGGGTTGGGTTTTCGTCGCTTGGCAACGACGTTGTAAAACAAGCCGCCCCCCCCGGTGTTTGCCATCGGGGTTTGGGTTTTCGTCGCTTGGCAACGACGTCGTAAAACAAGCCCCCCGCTCGGTGTTTGCCATCGGGATTGGGTTTTCGTCGCTTGGCAACGACGTTGTAAAACAAGCCAACTCACTTCGTGAACTCGGCAACCAGGTTACCGTTTTTTTTTTTTACCTCGTTTTTTTTTTTTTTTTGGCGGTAACCATAGTGGTGGTCGAGTAGATCATGTTGTGCGGGGTGGAGAAACCTCACTCCGCGCAACGGGGGATGATCGCACCACGTTGTGTTAAAATGGTCAAGCTTCCTCGAGGCAGTTACACAGTGCTTACAACTGTCTCTGGAAGTAAAAGCACCAGAAAATAAATTAAGTCATAACCAGCTGTCATCCGTACGCAAGGAAATAAGCACAAGATGCCGAACACCCTTAGCAGGACGCAACTCACCCTTCATGCGACTCGCCGAATACCTCACGGCGCTTCGCGCTTGGTGATGTGAGAGCCTGGTCCGGTGAGAACCCGGCGTGCTCCGTCCCGGCTTTGTAGGGATGCGAGGTCAATGGTCTAACGACTACGGCATGCACGACTATGAGTACACCCCCCCCCGAGCACTGCACCATTGCACCAACCCCCCGCGAGCGATGACGTGCATGGGCTGGCTCGAGTGGCCCGCTTTGTCTTGTGTTTTGTGTTGGTCTGTTGTTTGTTGCCTGTATACGGCGTGTGTCTTTCTCTGTGTGTGTCTTTCTCCTTCTCTTTCCCTTCTCTCCATCTGCTCTCTTCCTTCTCTTTTTCTTTTTCTTCTTTTTCCTTTCCCTTTTCCTTTTTGTATCTTTTAATAATCTAGGGTTACCTCGGATAGCGTGTGTAGAGGCGAGCGGAGTGGCCTAGACTATCTATCGTTGACTTTTATCTTTATGTTTCATGATTATGACTAGACGAATCCATCTCTATCGAAGAAGCTAAGGTAGAGTAGCAATGAATCCATAGTGTCAGCGACAATTCTGTTTTTCCACGGGTTCCCGAGCAGCATAATTTTCCGAGTGATTTGTACTCTATTCTTGTTTTGTTTCCCCGCGGCGTCGTATGTGCCGGGTTTTGCGACCACGGGCTCCCCATTTTTGTGGACTATAGAGCTAATGTGAGAGAAACAACAACAACAACAAACATTACTTTTATTGGCTTGCGGACCCTTGGGTCCATTTTATATATTCCGTTTTATGTTCGTACAATGCGTTTTTGGGGAAGTTAGCCTGTGACCACCGGAATGACCCCGTCTAGTGTTAGACTAGTACGGGCAGAAGAAGGTACTGGGCAGAGAGAACGGAACGGTTTTAAATGTGAAGACAACAACAACAACAACAACAACAACAACAACAACAACATGGGTCCTGTTCCGAAAAATTGCTCACATCCTACGGCGGAAAACATGCAACGGATAACGGATTCGGCGAACTTCGGCGGAAGAAAAATTGCGAAAAAAATCTCGCCGCATTCGCTCACCAACATGATAGCACGCTAGCACGCTCGACTGGCAGGCGCGGTGGACGCGCGGTGGAGCTGAAACCCCTCGTTTTTGATCACAACAGTGCACACCCTGGCTATGACTGTTGATCGCCTGCCGTGCGACGTGTCATATGTGCTGTGTGCGCTGCGCGCCATGTTCATGTTGTTGGTGGTCGGTGGCGCCGTACATCAAACAGTCGGGTGGAGCGTGGGGTATGTGCTCCTCGACCGTTCTGCACGCCGGAGGACCCCTCCAGCTTGAAAGAAAGAACTGGCTCTACAGCAGCATCTACTCACAGAGTCTGCCCCAGCTGCGCAGCTGGATGCGATGGCCCGCTGCGCTCCCGACTTCGAGCATTGACCCCCCGTGGCCACGTATCGTGGCGATTGTCAATCCCCTTGCTGCGACTATCGACGCCTTCGAGTATTTCCGGAGAGAGCAAGACTACGAACGGTGAGCAGCAGGCGACGGGGGCTGCCTAATGTAGAGAACAAGAGAGAGACAAGAGCTGGCAGCAACGCTACAACGACAGAGTTGGTGAAGGTTTTGGATTCACTCTCGCATCGCATGGAGGAACTCGCTGCTCTGCTTTTTTTCTGTCCAGTTGCTCTGCTGCTTATCGTTCCTGCTGGCTGCCGCCCGCTGGTCGGTCTCGTGCCCATGCCATGGTGCGGTTTGTTACCCATCACCCCTCCGCACTGCTGTTCATGTGTGCCTGTGCCTGCGAACTGCTGTCGCGTGTCGTGAGAGCACAAAGACAGTAGCAATAGCAGGGTTATGCACGGGAATGGTGAGCTGAGCGTGAGAGAGGAGACAAGAGTCAGCCAAGTTGGATACCTGGTACATGCGTTCATGCTGCTCAAGTTGTGCTGCTGTAGACCAAGATATGCTGTCTACAGAGATTGTTACAGTATTACCAGACATACGAGTACAAAAGATCTGCCGTAATAGGCGACGCAAGATACCACCCTCGGGACCGATTTTCAACGTTCGATTACTCCACGACGAAGAGGGTGCACAAATGAAACATGAAAGAATGCGTTTTCAAAAGATCCCGACGAGAGACGGCTGCAACGCCGCCGTTTCCGGCGCCTCCACTCTTTCTACTGTAGGACAAATCGAGCGTTCAAAATCGATGCTTGTGCGAGACGTGATCTGTGTGTATACCTTTCCCTGCGCGTGGGATGAAATGATACGAATGCTTTCCATCAATTTATTCTACGGTATGAAGGCACCGCTCTCTGGTTCAGAGTCCAGAGCGAGAGAGAGAGAGAGAGAGAGAGCGCGCATGCCACCTGGCAGCAACACACCGAGAAAAAAAGAGTAGGGTTGGCCGTCAGCTCCTCGACTCTCTCTGTCTGTGCCTACAAGTAGTCTATTGCTGCTGTCCGACATACCGTACACGTACCATTTCATATCGCTCAAGCGTGGAATTTTGGTCACGCTGCTGCTGAATGGCATCGCGTCTAGTGTGGAGTTGACCTTTCCTTGCTGTCAGTTTTCTTGGTCTATTCCTTATTTACCAGCTAGACTAATTTTCGTGGCATCTTGCAAATACTCAAGTACAAATTTAGGAGGCCACCGGGGTGGCTGAAGGTGCATGAGAAACTTCTATGGCGACGAGTACGTGCGGAATGGTAAAAAGCGACAAGGAAGAAAAGGGCCTTGAGTCGACTTATTTAGTGGTTTCCTCGTCTCTCAGACGTCGGCCGTCGTTATCTTGTTATTTTATGTGGTCGTTTTCCTGTTATCTCTCTCTCTCTCTCTCGCTGTTCCAATACTTCAATATTGCTACATCTCTGCAGCTGTCTACCTTTCTGTCTATTTGTCGGTCCATTGTTTATCTGCATGTCTTCTGTAGGTGTCTCTCTCTGTGTCTCCCTATCTGTCCGTGTCTTTTGTGCATGTTTTGCGGCGTCCCGATGACGATGGGCGAGCATGCCCCCGCCTTCCTCCCCGCCGCTAGACACGAAATTCAGACAGACAAGGCATTTTGGGCACCTGCGTGGGCCGCTCTCGCACCGCTGCCCCTACTGGTATGTGTGTTTCCTCCCTTGACCCCCCCCCCCGGCTTGCAGTGGAAAATTTCTTTTTTTCCCTCTTCTCTCGAAGGAGACGCTAAGGCTGTCAAGACGAAGGGCAGCGAAGAGGCGCACCAGGCCATCCGCCCTGCCCTACACAAGTAGTCGGCGCAGTCCCGGCCGCGACCGACACTCCCGACGGAAAGCAAGCGGGGGAGGGGGAGGAGGAAGCGGGGTCAGGGGCTGAATCAGCCTCGACTAGTAGTACCACGACCACGGGGGGGAGGTTCTTGCATCCCACGGAGCTCCCCGTGGAGGAAGGTGGCGGCGACGGCGGCAGCCGCGGCTTGGAGGAGCAATGCGACCTGGTGTACCAACGGACGCTGGCCAGCGCCATAGCGGAGTCGGAGGCGGACTTGACGACGGTTTCGCTGGGAGCGGGACGCGTTTCGCTTGGGGACGGCGAGGTAGGCACATGTAGGGGGTATACTCATGAAAAACGCATGTCGTAGTCGCTAGAACTCTGAATCCCTTCAATGGCGGGACGGAGGAGTGATATGCCGGGGTTTCGCCGGTCCAGACGGGGGCTTTGGCCCACGGTGAGACAGTCTGACAGACAGCAGTAGCATTTAGGTCTATTTTTGGCACCGTTAACGCAGAGACCAGATTGTAAAGACCGAAAATGTGTTGATTTTTGATATTCCAGGTTTTCTTTTTGTTGTTACGGGAGTGTTGCCTCTGTGACCTCTTTCGGCGCCCCTAACACACCAGGTAAATTAGGAATGAAACAATTAGCCCATTGTTTCTTTTCATATCGGTCTTTGTTGCCTGCGGGAGGTATGCCCGTATGGCCTCTTGGTGGCACCTCTAACATACCAGAGAAGGACTGAAAAATATCAAGCCATTTTATCGACGGAGCCGTTGGGGTGCTGGCCCGCGATGACATAAGAGGAGACGCCCCGTGGTGTGTGTATTCTATGTATCCTGCTTGCTGTCCCTAGGGTTTCGAAAGTGGTGACTCGTCTGTCTGTCGTTTGTGTGGTTGTAAAATTCCAGTTGTTGTTGCGGCAAACGTCTGCTTGCTGCCTGCAACGGTTTCTAACGTGGTCGCGTGTCTCTTTGATGTGTTTTTGGTTGTCCTCGTCATGATTTGTTTTGTTTTGCAACGAAACGGTGCGGTTGTCCGGCGCACAAGTCCCGAGTTTCTCTTCTGTATGCTGGTTTGTTTGTGTGTGTTGTTGGGATCGACCGGGCTACAACACCAGCTAACCATTGAAGAGCTGTCAGTCTCAAGTGTGTGTGCGAGCCGTGTGCTTCGCTGTCTGCGCTCTTCTGCCGAACGTTCGTTGTATATTGGGGGTCCACGATGAACGAACCCCGACGATCAGCACAGGACAGCCCTGCACTGCGCCGCGGCAACCGGAGACCTGGGGTGAGAAAGAAGAGCCAGGGAGACTTGAGAGTGCACTCCCCACATTTTATTTTACATTTCTCTGATTTTTACATTGTGTGCCCTAGTTTGTCTGTGTGACCACGGAAGGCGTGAGCCTTGGTTACACATTGATAGTAACTCTTTAGGACTACCCGATGTTGCACTTTGCAAGGCTAGGTTCTTCACGCGAGCAAGGCTAGGTTGCTCACCCCACATCTACCCTAACCCTCACCCTAACCCTCACCCACGGCCAAAGCACGGCCTCGCGGCCGCGAACTGGGCGGCACGCGGTTGCGCCGCGTGCTCGGAATGAGGAACGGGGAGAGGGCGCTCGAGAGGAATCGGCCGCCAGAACCAACGCCGAACAACGCCCGACCAATCAGAACGCGTTAGTCCTAAAGATCTACTATCAATGTGTAAACACTACTCGAAGGCGTTCACGTCGGTTGGACGAGAACGGATATTGGAAGGTTGAGCGGATACCGGGACCGGTTTTGGAATGTGAGGCCAACATCAACAACTCTGCCGCAGATTCATGCTTGTCCCCCTCCAAGCGTTCGTACGTCCGGCCCCGCTTGCTGCATAATAACTGGTACCGTGTATTGTTGACGGTGCGGTGCTTCCTTCTAGCTTTGACGGCCTCCCACCCACCGAACCTGTCCACTGTTGTTGTGGTTTGGCTATGCTCTGTCGTCGTGGTTGTTGTGACTGGCGTTCTGTTGCCTTGGTCCTCATTACTCGAAGTTGGCTAAATCATCATCGGTCGTAGTCGCGAAAGTGTCTTTTTTTATTATTATTCAACCACGTGCTCTGCTCCGGCGGTTGCTCTCTGCGTGAGCTCACTATCTTCAATGACACGGCCTGCCAGGGTGAATCTTGTAATCAACCCCCCCCCGAGGTGCTGATCTTGTTCGGACGATTTGTAGATCTCAGCCACCTGTAGCATACCCACCTGTCACATGTGGCTGAGGTCTGCCATCAGCACCAACAGGATCACCCTGTCGGGGAGGATGGAGACAAGACTCATGCTGACCAATCGGCTTCTACTAGCAGGCCCTGTCAATAAAGATGATGCAGCATACGCAGCAGAGAGACCAATCGGAGCAACGTGGGTGAACGTGGCGCGTGGTAAGTTCCAGTAGGTTTATATCTGTTCCGCGAATGCGTCTTGTCTTACATGTTCCGTTTTTTTTCCTGTTTTGCTGGCTACATGTGTAGGTGCTGCGAGTCCATTATCCAGAACATCGCTGACGTGTTCTCGCTGGACGGACGGCAATGTAGCCCTCTGGACATCGCTTGCCTGGGCAATCAGGTATTTATCGGTACAGTAGCCTTGGCAGGGTTTTTTGTATGAAGTATTGTAAACATGTTGGATAAAGCATGCATTCGGGACAGTTGTGGTAGGATTAGGGATAGGGTCTGCGTACCCTCTCCTTGTTCTATGCCCTCATAAACTTAGTTTCTCGCGAATGCGGTCCGTATTCAAATTACAGTCTTTAACCTTCAAGGTCCCCCCCCTGAGTGTCTAGCCTCCTGAGGGTGACGCGAGAGGACGTGCCGGAAAGGATTTTTCACGGGCTGTTGTACACCGTAGTGAATACAGCGGCAATTTCTAGGAACTATAATAAGAACACCAGCCTAGGCTAGAACTATTCATAGACCTTCTCAAGTGCGACAGCCAACTATGCGGGGGTGGGCCCGGTTTAGCGACATGACATGCCCCTGTGTAGCGACGTGCCCTGTATTGCTCTTCGCAACAGATGGCGTGGCGCACCACTGCACCCCCCGATCAATTTCCACTGTACTGTACCCAGCAACAGAATAGCTCTTCGCTCCTGACGCTATGAAAGGGTTAAAAAAATCGGTCCACCCCCCATCGCTACTGTAATAATAGGAGTAAGGACGGTGGCCGATCAAGTAGGGGATGCATGGATGCATAGTCAATGATGGAAGCTAAATGCGAGGCGAGCAACATCCAAGGGACATTTGGATATACCTGGTCCTGTGGGAAGGAACAACGCGCCGTCCTCTCGAGGACGCGTGGTCAATGGTCAAACACCTAAGGCATGCAAAACATGAGTACCCACCCGCTCCGTTAGATGGCTTGGCTTATGTTCCGGACCTTAAACCTGTCCCACCTCTACCCTGGATGCAACGTCGCCCGTTGTTGGTCTCTCTCTCTCTGTGTGTTTCCCTCCAGGTGCCCGCGGTGGAGCATTTCTCGGACAAGATGGATCGGTAGGCGAACAAGACTTGGCGGGACATTTTATGTTGAGTTTTCTTCTGTGTACGGTTCGTCAGGTGGCGAGGGGGTTGTGCCGCAAAGTGTGAACGGATTTCTGTTCAATCGCGGATTTGCGGATCGTTCGGATTCCGCAATTAACTTGTACCCGGGGGGTATGAGGGTTGAATGAACCCGCGGGGCGGCACTCCATGAATAATTTCACGTTCCTTGGGTATACCGGGATTAGCACGGCGGGAAAGCGGATTATTAGTTGAACGGAACGCGGATCAATGAACGGTATCGTTGTTAGTTTGCCACACGACGGTGCCATTCTTGGTTACGGTGTGCTACACACCGGCATGGGATATTAATGCTGTGAATGAAATGTCGAGTTTTTTTTTTTACCCTTCGAATTTAGAGGCCTTGCATAGCGCCAGAGTTTGGTCCTTGTACCGCAGCACAGCAGGCGTCTGGCAATGTCGTCTTGCGACAGTGTTGGCAGGAGTTTGGAGCGGAATAACAACTGCAGCAGGGGTCGGGGCGGGGGAGGGGTGTACTATTGTAATCGCATCCCGTGGTCAATAGACAGTTGAAATTCGCATCCCTCCAACGCCGGGACGGAGCGACATGCCGGGGTTTCGTCGGCCCAGGCTACGATGAACCAGAAGCTCGTCATCATCCTTGCGTATGCCATGCGGGGGGAGCAGCGGTGGTATGTAGTTGGGGGCTGGTAGGATTTTCTAGAGGCAGGCGCGGGCGGTAGTCTGTGCGCAGGAAAATGAAGTTGCAGGCAGGCATGTGGGTACTCTCTTTTTGTAATCGTGGTATTATATCGGTCGACTGTTTTGGTGGTTGACACGGTCGTCTGGGGGGGGGATTGTGATGTTCGGGCGGGGGAGGGAGCTTGTTGAGCATGCCTTGTAGTCCAAGGTTTTTAGTCGTCATCGTTTCGGTATCATCATGTTCATCCCGACAATGTGACGGAGGAAGGTAGGGAGGGAGGGAGAGAGGGCCTCCCTTCCTGCTGCGTCGTTGTCGTTTTCCCGCGGCACCAAGTAGCGCGGAGGGGGATGGATGATGTGGGAAATATCGAACGTTTTTTCCTCTGGCTTAACCTTCGGCGGAGGTCGAACAAACGGGCTGGCATCCCCGTTTCGGAGAAACACAGCGCCAGCAAGGGGTAAAAGGGCACATTGCTGTAAAATTTTGATGATCGCCCCGCTTTTTTTCTTTTTTTCCCCCCTACCCTTTTCTGGCCCTGTTTATTCTATGGGAACGAGTATACGCCCCCCTCTCCCCGAGATGATGTCGAGATTGTTTTGACGGGGTCCCCCATGCGGTACCGGTAGGCGATATAAATAGAGATTGTAGTGGTGGCGGTAATGATAACGATGGCAAGCGAGCGCTCGAGCTGTAAATGTATGCGATAGCGTGCGGAGAGCGTCGAACAAAAAAAGTTTTTTTTAGGGTATCTTGACTTGTATGATACCATCATTAATAATGTTTAGTTTCTTTTTCCATTTTGTAGCGGTTTGGTTAAGTCTTGAAGGCCGGCACTGTTTACGTCGCGGTGGGGACCGCGTTGTCTGCGTTTGCAGCAGAACACTACATAGCTCTCGCGCCGCGACGTCGGTCAAGGGGTGTAGTCTGCATTTGGTGAAAACGACAGATCGCCTAACTCAGGCTCTCGCTCTTCTGTAGCTCCCGTGGTACGCTTAGAATACCCGTCTTTGAAGGTAGGTGCGGTTGGGAAGCCGTGTCACCGGCCGCGGGCGACCTCGAATTTGGCGACCGCTCGGTCCTGGTTGGACCAAACGTTGGCGGGGTGTGATGTGTAATTTCGAACACGGTGGTTGTGAGGGTCTCTTCGCTACGCCGTGGTTCACATTCCAAATCCCAAAGCATGTTTGTGTGCGTGGCAGTTGTATTCCGACCCGGGTGTGCGCTGTTGGAACAAGGCCATTCACCGATGGTCACGTACAAGTTTCAAATTTCTTGATTCCAATCCTAAACGCCTAAATGGCAACGTAGCCTTCATATAGCGTCTGTCGTTGTCTCTCTCTGTCATTGCGTGCGACAAATGTTGCAGTGAGTTCTTGATTTTGTTGGCGTAGCCGATTTTCCATATGTGGCGATCAAAGGCCCGAAGCTGAAGACGAAAACCTGGAGATGCAGGAAATTTTCAAGAACTGTGCGGCGGGGTTGGTTACTGTCTCATACAAAGTACATAGTTCCTACCGACAAGAGAACCAGCAACAGCAACAGACAAGCGAACCAGCATCAATACCGACAAATCCATCAACGATCCAAACCAACAAGTCAACCACAACCATTGCCGACAATCGCACCAGCCAACCACAACGGCAAGCAACCAGCATCCATGCCAAAACAGGCTGTGTGAGCAATGAAACGCCACCATTCGGTGTGAGTTCAGATATTTAGTGAAAAGAGGTGCGACACTACGTAAAACGATCAACCGATGACACAGGAAAGAGCGAGGCAGAGAGAGAGGGAGAGAAAGAGACGAGACGCCGAGAAAGAAGGTGCATTTCTGAGGAAATCATGTCTGCCGAAGCTCGCGCCGTTGTGGAGCGGAACCGCTTCACTCCATGATATCGAAAAAAGAGCGTTACAAAAGAATACAAAATAACAATCTGGTGGTGATGTCGCTTCGATACGATGTGTAGCATTCCAAATTCCAATGCATACACGTCCTGCTGACCTCTCTTCTCACACACTTCAGATTGCTGGCATCACGCCCGGCACCAACAAAATATGCAAAGACCTCGAAAGTATCCAGAGATATGCATATCCATATGCATAGCAATACATACATATATATATCCATCCGTGGTCCAGGCAAGAACGCAGGAAGAAGGTGCATGTGTAGCCGGCCGTGTTCGTGTATGCGTAGCCGTCATACTTCGACCCAGGCTGCGATATTGGATCGAAGGGATCCAGCGATTCACTCACCGCGGTCAGGCTTACGTTTCGTGGGGCCAATCCTAACCGTCTTAATGGCAACGTTGCCCTCTCGTAGCGCGATTCGTCTTCCGCTACCATTATAGCAGTGAAGAGCTGGATTTGTTGGTTTTGAGGGGATTTCCCGTATACTGTAGTCTGGAGATCAAAATTCCAAGCTGAGGACGTAAAAAAACACAATCATACTACTTGGTAGAGATGCAGGAAATGTCGAGAACCTGTGCGGCGTGTTGGTGACTGTCCCTTGCGAAGTTCCTACCGACAAGAGAGCCGGCAACCGCAACAAACAAGCGAACCAGCATCAATACCGAAACGTGAATCACAACTCCAAACCAACAAGTGAACCAGCAACCAATCCCACCAGCCAACCATATAATGGCAAACAAACCAGCATCCATAGCGAACCAGCAGCCATGCCGCCACAAATGCATGGGTAATGGTGATACGCCCTTGGCAGGTGATGACACATACTACATGCTCATGCTGGTCGAACAACTAGTTTTGGGGGTAGACATGCTGAATAGTTCAGTCCGAGAAAAGGGATATCAAGGTGTTTCCTCATGTCTCAACCTCTAGACCAACCCGCTTGTAGACAAGACTATAAAAAACTGTCGGAACGGTCCGGAGGACAAGATAGAAGTCTTGAAACACTCGACCGCCGGTTCACCCACGACAAGGGGGGCCGTTTGTACCACGCTTGCTACACTACGCTATGAAGCAACACGGCATTCAGTGTTGAGCGCAAGAGTACAAGGCAGCCCCTTTTCTTCACACAGAATGGTAGCGGCTCAAAGGGATTCGATATCTGCGTTCTCGGACACGCTCAAGGAATCACATTCGTATGACAAGACGTTCGGGTTCAGGTAGCACAATGTACAGCTGTAACCTACTCATATCTAAAAACATGGTTGCGTTTTCACCACGTTGCCTCACGATCACGAGACATGCCGCTCCTGGAAAAGGATGGCCCCTTACATGCGGGGAAACTATCACCAAAGATAAAGGCCACCTCCATGCACCAAGCAAAGAAAGCGCTGGTCACGAAGACAAAAGCGAAGAAGAAAGAATCATCGATGGACCATCAGTTCCAACAAAGAGAATTGCAACACCTTGTTCTACACCAGTCACCGTGGACGTGAGCTAGACTCACGACGCCTGATTTTCTTGACGCAATATGGCCGTAAATAGGAGCGTTTCCCCACCCTCTTGTTCATCGCGTCTGCAGTCACCGACTGCTGTCGTCGTAGGTAGCTGCGTCAATCTTGTCCTCACTCCAGCAACGCCGGACGAAGAATTATTTCGTAGAGTAGTGCCAGGCCTCCGCGCCATGCGTATCCAGGATGCCTGAAAACTTCTTAACTGCGCGAAACCATTATCCGCACAACTTTCAGTTTGTTCTGAGTGCCGACCGTGCGTGGGTGGTTGGTTCCGAGCCTCTTCGTACAGATTGAGAGGGCCCTCTCCAAAAGTGGGATAGCCGCGTTGTACTTCTCCTGTAATCGTTTGAGATTGTAAGGGCCAAATTTTGTCAGTGAGCACACCGCACATCTCAAGACTTGGGGGGTAAAACGCTTAGACCTTGGATCCACCAGATACACTATTTACTACACACCAGCAGTGGGCTAGAGTTGGTCCAACAAGCCTGAAAAACGAAACGACGCAGGCATGAGGACATCAACACGAAAAAGGGTCTCATGATAGTGTGGTCGAATATACACTGGCCGCTGCTGCACGTCACCTTCGCCCTCACCATGCCCGCTGACCATTACAACAGCAATTTCAGGCGGAATCACCTAGCTCTCTCACCTGCGTGTCTAACAACAGTCAGTTTTTGAGTGCCACAGCGTCCACCCTTGTATGCATACACCATAAAACAAATTCCTGAACTTTCTGGGGGGTCTCACCTGGGCATACATCAACACCGCCCGGTTGTTGAGCACGGTGGCAACGCCTGGATGCTCCGGACCAAGCACCTTCTCTCGAATGGCCTGCGATCGCTCATAGAGCGGCTCAGCCTCCTCATACTTGCCCTGGAATGTGACGGGAGGGACAGACAGAAAATCATGTCGTGACTCTGCTGCATGTGCGCGAGAACAAATGCCTGGGCCACATCCGGATGCTCCAAGTCCAGAACGTACCCCCGTAATGGCTTGTGACCGTTCATTCCGCGGCTCTGTCTTGGCCCAGTTGTCATGATGCCGCAAGGATGCGACAGATGGCACGGTTCGGAGAGATTGCACCAGGGTGCGCACACAAAACCAGGAACAACATGCTAGATTGCTTGGCAACTTGGTCCAGGCCACTTTTAAGCTTCCGTAGTGAGGTACCTGGGCACCGTTTACATGAATCTGGTGAGCGGATCATCGGGGTAACACTCTTGTATGTAAGGTAGCAGTCCACACGGTTGCATTCATGTCATCGGTAAGGATTCGTGCGCTCAACCAAAAACACGCAAAAACACCGGCCACGACCTACCGCTACAGAAGGTAGCTAAAGCCAACTCGTATTAAGAACTGCGGATGAACATTCTTTTCTAGAGCCATCTAGAAGCGTCGTTTGGCTCTCACCTGACTCTTCAACAACCCCGCCGGTTGTTGAAGAGCCAGGTGAGAGCCGTGATAATTTTCAAACATTTTTCGTAGGGTTCACACTTGTTTTGAGAGTTTGGTTCTCTCTCGCCCAGTCGCTTACACCACCCCACTGCTTACTACACAGGGCAAGTACGACGAAGCCGACCCTCTGTATCTGCGAGCTATTGAGATTGGAGAGAAGACGCTAGGCCCTGACCACCCAGATCTTGCCACGAGACTCAACAACAGGGCGCCCGGTTGTTGAGCACTCCCGATATCTATCGGGTACGACAAGAAACTTCCTGGAATTTTCTGATGACTCTCACCTGCGCTCTCAACAACTCCGCCCGGTTGTTGAGCGTTGTGGCTAGACTTGGGTGCTCAGGGCCTAGAGCCTTCTCCTCTATCGCCTGACACCGCTCATAGAGTGGCTCAGCTTCCGCGTATTTGCCCTGGATGCAGTGAGGACAGCGTGGTGGAGTCGTATTTCAGTGAGAAAATCGTGAATGGGATTGTGGAGAAACATTTTCTCAACAACCCCGCCCTGTTGTTGAGTCTCGTGGCAAGATCTGGGTGGTCAGGGCCTAGCGTCTTCTCCCCAATCTCAATAGCTCGCAGATAGAGAGGGTCGGCTTCGTCATACTTGCCCTGTGTAGGAAGCAGTGGGGTGGTGTAAGCGACTGGGCGAGAGAGAATCAAACTCTCAAAACAAGCGTGAACCCTACGAAAAATACTGGAAAATTCTCACGGCTCTCACCTGACTCTTCAACAACCCCGCCCGGTTGTTGAGCGTTGTGGCTAGACTTGGGTGCTCACGGCCTAGAGCCTTCTCCTTTATCGCCTGACACCGCTCATAGAGTGGCTCAGCTTCCGAGTATTTGCCCTGGATGCAGCGAGGACAACGTGGTGGAGTCGTAGTGCAGTGAGAAAATCGTAAATAAGATTGTGGAGAAACATTTTCTCAACAACCCCGCCCGGATGTTGAGCCATGTGGCAAGAGCTGGTTGGTCAGGACCGAGCGTTTTCTTTCAAATCTCAATGGCTCGAAGGTACAGAGGCTCTGCCTTAACATACTTGCCCTGGACTAAAACGCGAAGGAAAAGAGAGAAGGTCGATTCTTGACACTGCTGCATGTGCGGTAGCACAAATGCCTGCACGACATCTGGATGCTCCAAGTCCAAAACGTACCCTCGTTGGCTCATTGCCGTTCACACAGTGGCTCTGTCTCGGCACAGTTGCCTTGATGCCGCAAGGATGCGAGAGATGGCACGGTTCGGAGAGATGGCACCCGGCAGCGCAAAACATAGCAAGAACACAAGGGGCCCTTAATGTGGAAACCGTGGAACCCCCCCTCTCCCGGGCCAAGACTGACACGCAGGAAAACCACTATAGGTGGCTCACTTGCAGCAGTCTACTACATGGTAGGATTTACTGTCTCCTTAGTACAACCAATATGCTCTTCATTGTGTGGCCTTTGGTGCCGCATGTAAAAATGCATACGATAATCTGCACGTGATACCATATTCTTTACCATACAATAGACCCCCCCCGCCCTCGCGACCCTTGACGCGGGTACCCTCTTGGGGGGGGGGGGGGGGGGGGGGGGACCCAAAACCGGGCTGGCCGAATCCTTTAAACCTTTACCCCCCCCCCCCCAAAAAGCGGGGGGGGAAACCCCGGGGTTTCCCCCGGACCGGGGCTCCCAAAAACCAAGGGGAAAGGGCCGGGGGGATTTTGGGGAGCCCCATAAAGGGGGAGCGCCCCCCGGCAAAGGGGGTTGGGAATTTGGGGTTTATTTCCTTGGGAAGGGAGAAAACCGGGGAAAAAATAAATTTTTTTTTGGGGGTTTTCCCTCCCAAAAAAATTTTTCCCCCCGGGGAAACTCCCCCGGGAAGCCTGACCCTTTTTAACCAAAGGGGGGGGGATACCCCCCTTGGGCCGAAGGGGGGGTT